ATGGCTGGGTCGAATGGTAGGGTTATATTCAGGTTTCTGAGGAATCTCCAGACTGACTTCCATAGTGGTTTGACCAGTTTGCATTCCCACCAACAGTGGGTTAGTGTCCCTTTTTCCCCACATCCTTGCCAGCATCTGTTGTTGGTAGATTTATGTATGTGAGCCATTCTAACCGGGGTGAGGTGAAACCTCATTGTGGTTTTGATTTGCATTTCCCTGATTGCTAGCGACCTTGAACATTTTTTCATGTGCCTGTTGGCCATTTGGATTTCCTCTTTTGAAAAATGTCTATTGAGGTCCTTGGCCCATCTCTTAAGTGAGTTGTTGGTTTTGTTTTTGTGGAGTTTCTTGATCTCTTTGTAGATTCTGGTTATTAACCCTTTATCTGTTGCATAGTTTGCAAATATTTTTTCCCATTCTGTCAGTTGTCTCTTCACTCTCCTGACTGTTTCTTTTGCAGTACAGAAACTTCTCAATTTGGCTCATCACCATGCATTTAAAATGCTTCCATCAGTGGGAGATGGAGTCGGCAGCACTCCTAATTCATTCATTTAGTCAGGATTTCTTTTTTTTTTTAAAGATTTATTTATTTATTTGAAAGTCAGAGCCCCACAGAGAGAGAAGGAAAGAGAGAGAAAGAGAGAGAGGGAGAGGTCCTCCATTCTCTGGTTTACTCCCCAGTTGGCCGCAATGGCCAGAGCTGCGCCAATCCAAAGCCAGTAGCCAGGAGCTTCCTCAGGGTCTCCCTATGCAGGTGCAAGGGCCCAAGCACTTGGGCCATCTTATACTGCTTTCCCAGGCCATAGCAGAGAGCTGGATGGAAAGTGGAGCAGCCGGGACTTGAACCAGTGCCCATATGGGATGCCGGCCCCAAGGATTTCTGATAGTATACTAGTATATGTTAAATTTATTTCTAGACTGAATTTTTGATAAAAAGCAAATTGCAACAGAACAATAGACAACATTTAACCAAGTCAGCTATAAAATGCCTTTGTCGAGCTTTAGCAATTAGGGACGTTCAATTCACACAACATCCACTTAGAAATATGTGCAAGTGGATAAGCAGCACATGTGCGTTCCTTGTGCAGATGGAGTCTTGGCACCCCTGCAGTGCATGAAGGAAAGCCGTGAACCAGTGAGAGGAGGAGGGACCCACACACCCCCCTGTGATTAGGAAGCCAGGAGGAGGCTGGCAGGAGAGCAGCTCCCAGGGCGGTGCCTGTGAGCAGTGGTGACTGCACAGGAGGGCCAGGGAGCCGAGGACCAAAGCGCTCATGCTGCATGCTGCAACTTGGGGCCCTGGGCGCCCTCCCTGGCAGCACCTGAAGTGGAATGGTCAGGCCGGAAATGAGATTGCCGAGGCACCAAGAAAACATGAGAATGTTCAGAGACAGAAAGATGGGGTTAATGCTCAAGTGTCGATAGTTGAGGGAGGCAGTGTGCTGGCAGGGGGCTTGCAGGGTCGGGCGATAGTTGAGGGAGGCAGTGTGCTGGCAGGGGGCTTGCAGGGTCGGGCGATGGTTGAGGGAGGCAGTGTGCTGGCAGGGGGCTTGCAGGGTCGGGCGATAGTTGAGGGAGGCAGTGTGCTGGCAGGGGGCTTGCAGGGTCGGGCGATAGTTGAGGGAGGCAGTGTGCTGGCAGGGGGTTTGCAGGGTCGGGCGATAGTTGAGGGAGGCAGTGTGCTGGCAGGGGGGTTTGCAGGGTCGGGCGATAGTTGAGGGAGGCAGTGTGCTGGCAGGGGGTTTGCAGGGTCGGGCGATAGTTGAGGAGAGGCACCTCTAGGCACAGAGTCCACAGAGGTGCAGAGTATGAAACATGTGCAGGGGTTTTACAACTTTTTTCACACCAAATATAGTTATATTTTTAAAAAAATGATTTATTTATTTATTTATTTGAAAGGCAAAATCACAGAGAGGCAGAGAGAGAAAGAGAGGGACAGAGAGAGAGAGAGAGAGAGAATCTTCCATCCGCCGGTTCACTCTCCAGATGGTCGCTACGGTTGAAACTGTGCTGATGTCGATCTGAAGCCAGGAGCTTCCTCCTGGTATCCAGTGTGGGTGCAGGAGCCCAAGCAGCTGGGCCATCTTCTACTGCTTTCCCAGGCCATAGCAGAGAGCTGGATAGGAAGTGGAGCGGCTGGGACCCAAACCTGCGCCCCTATGGGATGCCGGCACTACAGGTGGTGGCTTTACCCACTATGCCACAACACTGCCCCCAATGTAGTTATCTTTTAATGCCATTTTTCCCCATGAATTTTTAAGTATTCCTGTACATGAATTTCTTGATTCTTTAGTGAAAAATGAGTCACATCAAGAAGCAATTTTGTTGAATTCTAAGATTCAAACTCAGTACAAGGTAAAAAGAATTTCTAAAAGTTGCACAGTTGTATGTGTTTCTGGTCTACATATGATGTGTAATTACCCAGAGTGTTCCAAAACACCTACAGTCATTATTTTTTCTCCTTACCAAATTTCATCCCATTGGGAAGTACTTCCTGAATAGTTCTTGTTCTTTGGAATAGTTTGGGTAAAATCAATATTAGTTTTTATTATCTGATAAAATTCACCAGCACCTCCCATGTGGTTAGATTTTTTTTAGGACCAATTTTTCTTATTCAATTCAATTCATTTAATATTTAGAGATGTACATTCAACAGACATGGGACTATTCAAAGTTTATATTTCTTTTCTGTCAGTGTTTATAAGTTGCATTTTTTCTAGAAATGTGTCTGTTTCATCTAAAATTTCAAATTTATTGACATAAAAATTTTAAGAGAATTTTAGAATCTTTAGTTGGAACTATACAATCACTCCTTATATGCTGTATTGTATTTTCTCTCCTCTTTTTTTTAGTTAATCTTTTTAGGGATTTGTCATTATTTTTGGTCTTCTTAAACAATAAATTTCTGTGCTGATTTTTTTATTATAAGTTTATTTTATATTTCATTGATTTCTGTTCTTTATTGTTTCTTTTCTTCTACTCTGTTTAGTAGTCTTTTTCTAACATACTGAGATGAATATTTACATAATCTGTTTTCGAATTAATGATATCAGTGCCGTCTGTGTGCCTACATCGCTCTACTATGTTTGCTCATTGTCGCCTAGTGACACCTTTCCCAGGAGGTATCCTGATCATTAAGTGACTCATGGCTGTACAAGCATTTAAAAATATAATTTTTTGAAAGATTTATTCATTTATTTGAAAGGCAGAGTGATAGAAAGGCAGAGGCAGAGAGAGAGGTCTTCCATCCACTGGTTCACTCCCCAGATGGCTGCAATGGCCGGAGCTGCGCCGATCTGAAGCCAGGAGCCAGGAGCTTTTTCCGGGTCTCCTACGTGAGTTCAGGAGCCCAAGGACCTGGGCCATCTTCTACTGCTTTTCTAGGCCACATAAGAGAGCTGAATCTGAAATGGAGCAGCCGGGACTAGAACCAGCACCCATATGGGATGCTGGCACTGCAGACGGCGTTACCTGCTACGCCACAGCACCGACCCCTAAAGATATAAATTTTCCTGTCAGTACAGCTCTACTTGCATCTTACAAGTCTTTCTTCTATTTTTATTTAAGTTCTACAAGTCTCATGTATTTTACATATACAGATTGAGGAACATAGTGCACTTCCCACCCTACACAAGTTTTTATATATCATAATTTCTTTATGATCCAACTGCAAATATTTTGTAGTTTGTCTGTTCTCCTTTGCCCCTTGTGTTCTCTAGAAGTATACTGCTAAGTTTCAACATTGTGTCTTTGATTTGTTAGTAATCGGTTTGTAGACAACCCTGCTCTGCCACCATCTGCCCCGTCGACTGTGGCCCACACTGAGTGCTCTGGGTGGTGGTGGAGAGGTCCCTCTTCTGGGCTGAAGAGATCACTGTGTGCGGGAGACCTGCACTTACCCCGTGCTTCGTGGTTCTGTCTGTGCAGGCTCTCTCGTTGCTCCTGCTGGGAGGAGGGAAGCCAGCGACCTCCTGTCCACCTCTGGTTGTCTTCCCTGCCCAAATAGGGTTTCTCCCAAACAGCAGCGTAGCAAGGGTGGGGGTGGGCCAGTGGAGACTCATGCATCAAAGGTTTGTCATCCCTGTGACCCTCACAGCAGAAGGCTGTGTATCATCTAACCCCACTCCTGCCACCCCAGGGAGATGTTTGTGTCTTCTCATATCTCTTGTCTGCTTTTGGAAAGATGGCATTAGCTTTTCCCTCCAAGATGTTACCACTTTAACTCACAGTGTCTGTCAGCTGTCACCCCTCGCATCCAAGTGGAACAGAGTTGGAGCCCAGGGCCAGAGCAGAGACCAAGAAAGTGCTGACTCGGAATAGATAACTAATTGGAGGAGAAGATAATTAATACGTCTTACTACCTATTTTCAAATTTGAAAGAATGCCTGTTGTGTTGACTTTTTTAAAAAAAAGATTTATTAGGCAGAATTAAAGAGAGAGAGAGAGAGAAAGACAGAACTTCCATCCACTGGTTCACTTCCCAAATGACCATAACAGCTAGAACTGGGCCAGGCAGAAGTCAGGAGCCAGAAGCTTCATCCTGGTCTCTCACGTGGGTGCAGGGACCCAAGCAGTTGGGCCATCCCCCGCTGCCTTTCCAGGCCATTAGCAGGGAGCTGGATTGGAAGTGGAGCAGCTGGGACTCCAGCCTGCCCTCATATGGGATGCCAGCGTCACAGGCAGTGGCTTAAACCATTTTTTTAAGCATATGACTTGGATGTTTTTTAAGTGCTATTTTGGGTATTGATTTCCAGCTCATTCATACAATGCTTACAAATTCTTTATGTAACTTTCATATTTTGCAGTTTGTTGAGATTTGCAGTTTGTTTGAAATTTAACATATTGTCCATTTTTGTAAGTATCTTATGTAGACTTAATATATATTCTGAAGTTCACGATTAGTGTTCTGTATATGTCAACTAGGCCACTTTGGATTTTTGTTATTGAGTTGTTTATGTTTTCGTTCTCTCTGTTGTGTGCACCCTTGTTCTGTTACCCACGAGAGAAGCGTGTTAAAAATCTCCCACTCCACTTTTCCTTCTTTTTTTTTTTTTTTTTTTTGACAGGCAGAGTGGACAGTGAGAGAGAGACAGAGAGAAAGGTCTTCCTTTGCCGTTGGTTCACCCTCCAATGGCCGCCGCGGCCGGCGCGCTGTGGCTGGCGCACTGCGCTGATCCGATCAAACGTTGCTTTATCTCCTTGGAATCTGTGTCCCTGTGTGCACATAGATTGGAACTGTGCTTCTCCCTGATGGTCTGACACTCCTTCCCTAGTGAAATGCACCCTTATGCCCGCAGTGCTTCTAACACAGCTGCATGTGGGGCCTGTGGGTGCTCTCTGACTGTTGTCTGTGCACAGCCTACCTCATCTACCACATGTGTCCCTGGTAAGCATGCAACTGTTATTGAAGTCAGTTGAATTCACATAGCTGTTGTATATTTCAGTTTTAACTAAGGTATACAGTAATTTTATGTTCAGATAATCATTGGGGTGTTTCACTTCAATTTGTTTTGTATTTACTGTGTTTTGTTTACGATTTGTTGTTGGATATTTATTTTACTTTTTATATCCTTCTTTCTTTAGGATTAATCAGGTAGTTTTTATTTTTTCACTGGCTTTTTTTTTTTTAACCTTACTTTATACTTGGTGATTTTGCACTTTCACAGAGTCACTTTTTCTTGTTCTTGTAAATTTTTTTTATTTATTTGACAGATAGATTTAGACAGTGAGAGGTAGAGACAGAGAGAAAGGTCTTCCCTCCATTGGTTCACTCCCTAAATGGCCGCAATGGCTGGAGCTATGCTGATCCGAAGCCAGGAGCCAGGTGCTTCCTCCTGGTCTCCCATGTGGGTGCAGGGTCCAAGCACTTGGGCCATCCTTCACTGCCCTCCCGGGCCACAGCAGAGAGCTGGACTGGAAGAGGAGCAACTGGGATTAGAACCTGGCACCATATGGGATGCCAGTGCCGCAGGTGGAGGATTAAACAAGTGAGCCATGGCGCCGGCCCCTCTTGTTTTTGTATTTTTAATAGATATTGCAAAAGATACATTTAGCAGATGTTATAAAATACGGCTGTCTAACTTGCTCATTCACTGAGACATAATCTTAGTAACTGGAGTGTTTTCTAGTATCTTGAAGTGAGCCAGTGAAGGCTGTTATTGGATGGGTTTCCAAAAGTCATTTCCAAACAGGCAGGGGGTCATAACAGAGGGAAAGCAGCAGTGTTAACCTTTGACCCCTCGTGCAGGTAGGAGGCAGTGATGGCTGCGGGTGAATCATTAAGATCCTGGGTCCACTTGTAGGAACGTCTTCGCAGATCAGTAGGGTGAAAGGGAAGAGAAGAGGAGGTGAAGGAGCCTGTCTGTCGTTTCAGGAAAATAACTACAGACTGATGTGCATGCAGCACCGTCGGTGTGCACGGGGCGCCTGCTGCCCTGAACATGCAGGACTGGCAGACACCTAACTAGCACATGTCTTGGTTCTTACGTTCTCCGCTGGGTTAGTTGAAGGCACCACAAAGACAGAAAGTGTCCTTGTGCGCTGGCACTCTCCCCTCTCGGAATTGAGGCAATCACCGCATGCTAGCATTTCCGTGGATCCTGTCCACTTCTGGGCCGCAGAGGCCAGCTGTGCGGTGGTGGCCACTTCACGGCTGCTACATGCGTGAGCCCCTGGCACTTCCCGGTTGTGTTGATGGCGCCCTGATTTGACTGAGGCAATCTGAACTTGGGTTACAACTAAAGCCTGTTCCACAGACTTTAAAGTCGGCTTTCCTGTCCTCACCTGTGGCTCGGGATTCGTAAAACGTTCGCCCGTGCTTGATTGTGTGAGGGGAAGTCACTCCGTAGTGATGCAGTTTTCTGTGCACCCGGAAGGAAGCGTTCCTTCTACAGGTGGTGCGGGAAAGCCATGATAACAGGAGACAGAATTTTCCCTCCTGTCGCTCCCCGTCTTCGTGGAGGAACGACACAGGACTCTGCGTTGTTCTTTCGTCTGCTCGGCCCTCCCCAGGTTTGCTGCTGGTTCTTCCTGGGTTGGCTGCTGGTCCTTCCCGGGTTGGCTACCGTCCCTTCCACCTCCGTGGAAGGGCGGTTCCCCCTGCCACCTTCCCCACTTCCGCGGGGGAGCGGCACACCGCCGGCCGGCTCTCTCGGGGGCTGCACAGGTGTTCCTCTTAGATGTTCCCCTTAGATGTTCCTGGTGCATGTTGTCTCTCCTCCTTTATAGTCCTTCCACCAATCCCAACTCTGCTACCCACACGCTCTCCTCCAATCAGGAGCAGGTCCTACAGTTTATTGGTTGAACTGGAGGCAGCTGCGTAGAAGCTGTTTCCCTTCTCAGCGCCATATTGTGGGAGAGCAGATGCATAGAATAAGTCTTAATTCCAGTAACTTAGTCTAGTCCGGGTTGCTCCCCACACCCTCCTCCGTTTTTCTTTTGTCCCAACTTCAAACGAGGCTGAACAACATCAACTGGCTCAAGTCCTCCTGAGGTCTGAGACGTATTAAGGATGATAAAGGAGTCCGGATAGCAACAACAAGGCACTGGACGTTACCTGTAAGTACCACGGCTCCCTTCCCAGCACTCCTGTGTCTCCTACTGCACTGGAGACCTTGGCTAAACACATGCAAATGTGGGCTCGTTTTCCCCTAGGGGGTGGATGCTACGATTAGATTATCAGCCATGTTTTACACACAAGCAGTGTAGGTGATGTGAGGTTGAGTAGCATGGCTTCTCCCAGGGGAGCTAAAGTGCCCGGGTGCTCTGCCTCCCGGTAAATGTTGATTTTACTGCTCTGTTGTTAGTAAGAAATGAAGTCCTGCTACATTTCAGTTTTCTAGTGAGTTCTTTGCATTTTCGTCCCTGTGCAGCTCAAGACCCATCTCCCTCATTAGATGGTAAATATGAGGGTAGGAACCTTATCCGATCTATCTTTGCGTATTCTGAGTTTCTTGACAAACTGCCACAGGAACGCTCAGCCATGAGTGTTTCACGGGGACTCTGGACAGATGAGCAGCCTCAGCTGTAGACCCTGTTTGTCGGGGCATGAGGCCTTTGACTTCTCGGATTGCCTACTCGCCCCCCACTCAGGGAAAGGCCGCTCCTTGGCACCACGAGGAGGTGCCGCTGCGCGGGGCGTTGGCCCTGCTGGACAGGCTGGCATGCCTGGTGTAAACCGTACCCGCAGTGGTGCTTTGCTACAGCAGAGGGTACAGAGGGTGGAGCCTGGAGATAAGGTGCAAGCTTGCAGGTGACTCCCCTGCGGAGTCACAGACAGCAGACAGGCTGAATCCCCCCAGCAGCAGTGTGTGACAGCAGGCGTGGCCAGCCTGGAAGCTCGCTGGAGCCTGCGTGTCCAGGGTCAGTACTGGGGATCAGCCATGCACGCAGGGAGCCTAGCTCCTCAATCTCTAATCGCTCCCAGGGGCAGGCCCAGAGTCCCAGGCAAACAGAACAGTCACCATAGATCACCAGAAATCCCAGAGTTGTCGGAAACTGACGTGGCCCAAGGCCCAGGTATACTAAGATGCTTGTATCAGGCAGGATATTCCGAGGGCTCACAGATTCCCTGGGGGAGCCAGTCCAGGTCAGTCCTGAAGATCTGAGCAACAGATAGGATGTGGACATCCCAGATCTGAGTTACCCTTTAACTGCACGTACGTAGATACAGACGTGTGTAGATGTTGCCGGGTTTGACTGTGTTCCTCCACAATCCAGGCTGAAACCCACTCCCCATTGTGGGGGTGTTGAGGGCTGGGGTCTTTGGGAAGTGATTAGGCACTAGTGCCCTTACGGAAAAGGTCGGAGAGAGCTGCCTGGACCCTTCCTCCATGTGAGGACACAACGAAAGACGCTGTTTCTGTGGCAGACACTGCTGGTGCCTTGGCCCTGGACTTCTCGGGCTCCAGAACTGTGAGCAGTAGATTCCTGTTGTTTATAGATTACCCAACCTATGTGGTAATTGTGTCCTAGCAACCCAAATGGACTGGGGTACATATACACAGATATGTGGATCTAATGCTTGGGTGTAGGAGGGTACAGGGTAATTGATTGGGCAATTAAAGCTTTTAAAGGAACAGCTGCATTCTTCCCCACCATCATTTCATGCAGCAGAGGTCATTTTCCATGCAAATTGGTAGGAGGACTTGTTGCAGAATAAGGGTTTCCTTACCAAGAAGTGACATTCACACACGCAGGTGCACACATGCATGCAAAAGTGAGTGTTATTGAAATGCATACACTTATGATATGAAGGCTCCTTTTATGGCATTCGTACATGTAATTATTTCCTCAAACAACTGTAATTTGGAACTCTGTATTTGATTATATGCCACAAAATAGAGCTTATTCATCCAGCTTTTTCCTATGCTTTTTCATTATTTTTTCACAGCTGAACACAGGACATGCTATTTCATTTGGAAGTGTTGACCAGAAATAGAAAGAAACCCTATTGTGTTTTGTTTGGAATGTTCTGGCAAAGCTGCGAAGGTCCGGGCCATGGCTGCCCCATGCCTTTGTGTGCAGCAGTGGAGGCTGCTGGATGCCTGCAAAAGGGCTCCCTCCACACGGAGCCCTCTGACCTTGTGGACCGGGAGGGCTGGGCACCAGCTGGCTCAACAGTAACGCAGTCCAGAATCCACCCAAGGGTGGGATTTCAACACCATTGAAAACGTGTTTGGAAGCCATTGGGCTGGGTGAAGTTCTTTTTTAAAAAAATATAATTTTTAAAGTTTGTTTATTTATTTGAAAGGCAGAGTGACAGAGAGCTTCCACCCTCTGGTCTACTCCCAGGGCTGGAACAGGCCAAAACCAGGAGCCAGGAACTCCATCCTGGTCTCGCCTGGGGGTGGCAAGGACCCAAGTACTTGGGCCATCTTCCACTGCTTTCCCAGGTGTGTTAGCAGAGAGCTGGGTCAGAAGTTGGGTAGCTGGGACTCGAACCGGTGCACTCATATGGGGTGCTGGAGTTGTAAGCTGTTGCTTAACCCTCTACCGCTATGCCGGTGTCTGGGAGAACTTGTTGAGTTCTCATGTAGGTTATCTGATTTGTGGAAATGCAAATAAGAGAAAAAGTTGATGTTGCTTTTAAGGAGTTTGTAGAATAGTGACCTGAAGAACAGAGAGTAATGAAATGCTAGGTCAGGGCACCGACTGGACATCAGATGGGAGCTCTGGGCCAGTGTGAAATTCAGTCTAGGCCACAAAGAAGGGGTACGCTTTGGACAAGAAGATGAAGAGGGAGGCTTCCAGGCAGGACACAGGCATGCGGTGAGGCGGGGAGTGGAAGGGCGTGGGTCCCAGATCGGTGCCAGCACTGGCTCGGGTGACACTGAGCTGACGGGAAGGGAAGGACAGTGTGGACGAAGGGGGCTAGCGAGTGAGCGGGCAGAGTTGGGCTGTGCGCCATGGTGAGCTGGCTGGTGGCTTGTGAAGAGGCGCGTCCTGTGCCGCACAGCACAGACCCAGGAGGGCTGAGCGTGAGGGATGAGGCCAGCGCAGCTAATGATTAACAGCAGGCTTGCTGGGGAAGATAAGCCCCAGCTCGCGGGGTTGGCTGATTTCTGCGGTATTAGCACACCCATAGAGGATGGCTTCTAGCTACCAGCTCACAAACATCACCAAGCTCCGAGTCCCAGAAGACGGGCACGCAGCCCACTTTCCCTGGCACAGCACCAGGCCTTGAGTGAGCAGGGGGCACGGGGAAAAGAGTGTGCACACAGCAGCCGTCTGAGGGGAGAAATCGTGGGGTTTGGGGAAGTGGTTTTGGCTGATGAAGGAACATCGAAGATCGGCTGCAGCATCATCGAATGCAGTCCCAGGGCCGGGCAGGGGGCTCTGAGGAAGAAGAGAGAGGGCTGTCCTGGCCGCCCCCATGCGCCCCTCCCACAACCTTTCACCCAGAAGCTGAGTTTCTTTTTCTGGTTTTTTTTTTTTTTTTTTTCTTTTTTTGGTCTTAATCCTATCCCAGGCCCCAGGACTAAGCCTGGCCTATGCACAGGAGCCCTTAGGAAGTTTATGAGAGGCAGCTGTGAGATAAAATGAACAGGCTTCAGGGCTTCCCCAAGGGATGGTTTGGTTGCAAGCCCCAGCTGTGCAGCTTGCTAGGCAAATGATGCGAGGTTTGCTTCCTCATCGGACACGGGAGGGTCGTTGGGGGGTACCTGCACCTTCTCGCGGTGAGTCCTCACGACAGCTCTGCATGGGAGACCCCGGCTGTCGCTGCCGCCGCCGCCACACATCTCACTGGGACAGTGCCTGGCTGCCCGGCCTGGGACTCCCGAGTCCCAGAGGCTTCGATGGCAAATGCCAGTGACAGCCCTGGGCGTTCGCGGCCTGCTGGGAGAAGGAGCCTGGGAGCGCACCCCTGCGGAGAGCCTCACCTGTGCCACCGCCCGCATGCCCCCTCACAGTGCCAGCCGCTCTCACGACTTGAAACCTGCGCTTTCTGCGGGGTGCACCGCTCGCATCTCTCTCTCTTTCTCTCTCTCTCTCTCTCACAAACACACACACACACACACACATCACAGTCACAGCTGAAGTCAAAACACTTGGTAAAGTCAACTCTGCTGTGGATTCCTTTTCATTACTGCTTTTGTATTGTTTGACTTTTAAGTTAAATCACCAATCCTTTGATCTCATTTGGAACTAATCACACATAACTTTTACACAGTCTAAAAAAAGTACATAAAGTATAAAATATTTGTGTGAAGTGCAAGTGGAGCTCCATCTATTCATGTTTCAATCAAGCCACGAGTCAAGGGGTCCAAAAACAGAGTCTTGGATCATTTTTATTCAGGGCACATTTTAATCAGGTTCTTTGAATTAAGAGAATGAATGCAGAAGTAGAATTGAAATTAAATAGATAACGTAGTTGTGATTTTTTTAAGGGTGTGACTTTTTTGCATTTTAAAATGTGTATTGCAACCAGAATTTCACATTACATAAAAGTATTTCTGTGTTTCTGTTGATATCACTTTAGAAACTTTGGAAAACCCCTTCTAAACACCAACTAAATTTCAAAGACGCTGTTCCTTTCAAAGAAACTCTGGGCGGTGCGTGAGGAGGACGCTGCACCCTCTAGGGTACAAGGACCAGCCTGTTACTTCCGGAAGTTGTGTCTGAGCTGCCTAATCATCAGTTTTCCCTGTAACTCCATGTAAACATGAATCCACAATAACCCTATAACTCAATAACCCTGTAACTCTATGTAAACACAAATCCACCCATAATCATGGGGTATATAATTAGAAGTTTAATTGTAACAAATAATTGGATATAATTAGGGAAGCTAAGCAAATTTTTTCCTTTTCTTGGGATATTGGACATAATTGCTGTATAGTATAAAGTCAAAATTAAAATATATGCTCTGAGAATTCAACTTAGATACTATTGTGCTCATGTCTTTACTTAGAAATGTTGTTTTCAGCATGGCACCAGATAGCTCCCCTATGTCTACTTGGCCTGACTGAAAACGTTGATGGATAAATGGAAAAATGTTAATTCATAGTGTTTTTTTATTTTTTTAAATTTTTTTTGATAGGCAGAGTGGACAGTGAGAGAGAGACACACACAGAGAAAGGTCTTCCTTTTCTATTGGTTCACCCTCCAATGGCCGCCGCGGCTGGCGTGCTGCGGCTGGTGCACCGTGATGATCCGAAGCCAGGAGCCAGGTGCTTCTCTTGGTCTCCCATGCGGGTGCAGGGCCCAAGCACTTGGGCCATCCTCCACTGCCTTCCCAGGCCACAGCAGAGAGCTGGCCTGGAATAGAGGCAACCGGGACAGAATCCGGCACCCCGACCGGGACTAGAACCTGGGGTGCTGGCGCCGCTAGGCGGAGGATTAGCCTAGTGAGCTGCGGTGTCAGCCGAATTCATAGTGTTTTACTCCTTTGATAACTCCAGCAAAATGTTATTAGAAAATGTCACTCCACTATGTTTTCAGGGCTTCCTAACTGAGCAACTAGAGAAATGTTGAGTGGAACTGCTTTCCATTTACTTGAGAACACATCGTTGTTGCGGCACGTGTGCTCAGTTGTCCACCCGGCAGACGCATGTGGAGGCCGAACTCCGTGCTCTGTGCCTGGGACAGGAGGAGAGCGGGCAATGTTCTTCAGTGGAGAACTTTGGAGAGTGGAGGCTGTGTGCGTTGCTGACTCCTCTCCTGTATAAAGGCGTGCCTCTTCCATGGAGCCGGACCCTGGGAAAATATGCACGAAAGAGCCATTGCTGTACACGTAGCCATCTCCACGGCCTTGTGTGTGCCTGGGTCCCGCGAGGCTGAGTCTCTCCGTGCCATGCCTGCCCTCTCTTCTGAGCCAGCATCGGATGTTCTTCTTTTTCTACCAGCAAATAACCCCCGACTTACATATCTCTGTGTTATCTTTGGGAAAAAACACACAGATAGTATCTTAGCAACAACAATTATAGAAATCACACAGAATGTTATTAAAATCATCAGTTTTTTCCATTTTCCACAGTTGCTCTTGAGATTGTTTAAACCTAAGGCAAATATATTCTTCACACCCTAAAACCAACTTCTAAAATTGTTCTGTTTACTTAAATTCTAACATATTTCTGTAAATAACGTTTTCTTGGGAATTTAAACAGAAGAACCTGTGAAAGCTGGAGAATGGTGTAACATGACGTGGCCTCATGTCCTTGCTCCCCCAGCAGCTGAATGGGGAGGAGGAGGAGGGACTGGGCAGAGGGAGTGTGGCCGTGATGTGGTCACAGAGCAGTGCCCAGCCCAGCCTCAGGGGCTCTGCAGTACCCTGAGTTACAGTGTGGAGGCTGGGCTTAGCACCCCCTGAAGGCACATCACTCGAACTGGGCTGGCCTTGGAAGGAGACGGCCCTGGGGGAGTCAGTTTTCCCAGACCCCGCCATTCCATCCGCAGATGGCTGCTGGAGGACGCTGTGTTCAGGACACCTCCCAGTGGCTGGGGGATCAGTCTTTCCACTGAAGATGGACTGACATGTCCGCCTGAGGCCGTGATCATGTGTTGCCTGTGTCCCCCTGCCCACCCCAGGTGTCTCCTGTGAGTGAAGCGACTCTGCACAAGCGGCCTCTGACTCTGCACATTTTCCTGGTAATAAGAGATTGGAGGCAGCTTTTCTCTAACAACACTGATCTGTCATCAGAGCTGGACTGACACCACGAACTAAAGGAAAAATACCGACTCCTACAGCTGATCACCAAAAATCCCATACTTCCACAGATTGGTGAAGAATGGAATGAGATGGAAACACTTTTTTTTTTTTTAAATAAGGTGAGCTCTTCCTTCGGAGTGCCCAGTGATAGGTTCCTGTTTTCCTCAAGTTTCTGCTGCAGTCCAACACTGAGAAGAAATTTCCTAATTTCTCTGAAGGAGCTTTCAGATGTCAGATCCGTTGCTGCAGGTCCTCATGAACTACACAGCTAACCCTCTCTCCAGCAACCGTGCCCACCCTGTCCCTCAGACAGAAATAGCTCTCAGCCAGCAGTGGACAGGAACCCTTAGTCTCGGGGTGGTGAGAGACGAGGGGAGGGCACTGTTCCCAAGGCTCGGGGCTGGCGGGGCGGTTCCGAGACAGTCACTAGGAGAGACTGAAGTTGCAGCAAGGCAGGGTGACTGGACTCCACTCTAGTGCTGGAAGCCAGGTCCTCAGCCATTTTGCTCTCTGAATTCTGTGCTCCCCAGCAGGGAAAGGGAGACCTGGATGGGGCTGTGAGTGCCCTCCACACCCCAAAGCGTGTCAATCTGGTGAGTAGATGTGAACTTCCCACAGGAGCAAGCTGGCTGGCTCCGGGAGCTCGTCAGAGCAGGTGGACCCTGCAGGGGACAGCATCCTCTGCCCACCACACTGAGGTCTCTGACCTCTCCAAAGGGCTCCTGAGGGCTGGGGACTGGAGGAGGAGGGCAGGGCAGAGTGCATGCCCGGCTCCAGGAGCTCGTCAGAGCAGGTGGACCCTGCAGGGGACAGCATCTGTCTGCCCACCACACTGACCTCTCCAAAGGAATCCTGGAGGCTTTCAGGAAGCCAGGCTCCCTCCACCTTTTCCGCCGTCCCCAGTTCTGAGCCAGACGGGCACCCTCCCAGCGGTGCAAGCAAGACCAGGGGAGTCTCCTCGGCCCAGGCCTCTCTTGTGTCCGCTCCCACTCAGCAGGACTGAGTCTGCAGAGAAGTCATCTCCCCGTGCTTGCTGCTGGAGGCAAACTGTCCAGCTTTTTTTTTTTTTCTTTATCAAACTCTGCTAGCTGTGGGACCTTGGGCAGCCTCATGACTAACCCCATGGCTCAGTCTCCTTCTCTGTTGTCTAGGGATAAGCTCAATGCCCTGGTGTGGTGTCACTGAGAGGTTTAAGTGCATACAGTTCATGCAAACCATTCAGCCCAGAGCCTGGGACATTGTGTGTACATCATGCCATTGTTTGGTACTGAACGCTGTTGTGAATCTGTAGTCCACATAAGTAGGAGTCTGTTGCTGTCTTTCCAACCTCTGCCAGGTTGCTGAACCTGTTGTCTAGATTCCCAACCCTTGACTGCGGTTCTGATTCCAATCGAATGCCCAGCATTGCTGTTTTTGTGGCTTAAAAAGTCAGGTACCTAGACACCATCTCAGGGAGTGTCTATAAACACCTGTCTTCATGCTTCATCACAGAACCGAGGCAGCAGATGCAGGTAGAGCTTGGAGAGTGATCTGCAGATCACGCTGCCGTCAACACTGGCTGAGAGCAGAGTTGTGAAATTCCATTGTGGGCCTCTCTCACCATCCAGCACTGAAGTTGGCATGGAATTAGCAAATATTTGTTGGGAATCTACCAGATGCCAGGGAGTTTCCTATATAGAGGGAGAGTAACAAGAGACGCTTACAAAATAATAAAATGTACTGTTCCACCTGCTAAGGTTTCTATTTCTTTCCCTCTGCCCAGTTAGCTCCTACCCATCACATGCGCTTCCTGGATGCCCTTGGCTGGGGCTCTCAAGGCACCATGCATCTCTTCTGTGCTGGTTGCCGTTGTGTGTGTGTGTGTGTGTGTGTGTGTGTGTTGTTTTTTTGTTTTTTGACAGGCAGAGTGGACAGTGAGAGAGAGAGAGACAGAGAGAAAGGTCTTCCTTTTGCTGTTGGTTCACCCTCCAGCGGCCGGCGCACTGCGGCCTGCGTATCGCGCTGATCTGAAGGCAGGAGCCAGGTGCTTCTCCTGGTCTCCCATGCGGGTGCAGGGCCGAAGCACTTGGGCCATCCTCCACTGCACTCCTGGGCCATAGCAGAGAGCTGGCCTGGAAGAGGGGCAACCTGGACAGAATCCAGCGCCCCGACCGGGACTAGAACCCAGTGTGCCGGCGCCGCAAGGCGGAGGATTAGCCTATTGAGCTGCGCGCCAGCCTCTGGTTGCCCTTGTTAAAGGTTTCATTTTAGGGGTGCCTAGTTAGCATTCTTTCCCCTACACTAGACTGCCTCCCAGCTCAGAAGTTACCTGTGTGCACCTAACATTCGATGATTAGCTGATTGAGCGAACACAGGAAGGAACACCTTCAGTGACGGGAGCAGACAACAGGCAGAGCAGGAGTACCTAGGGAGGAGATCTGGGCTGGACTTGGCAGGTCAGGGGAGGTGCCGCTCACCTGTGACCTGAAGAAGGGACGTGGGGGCGGAGGTCAGAGGGGATGAAGGCGTGTTTGGTCTATGGGACGGGGGCAGAAGTGTTTGCTGCTCACTGGCGCACTGGCCATGAGCGGAGCCCCAGCAGTGAAGAATGCTGCTGAGTGTGCGGTGTGACAGGTCAGACGAGAGCCAAATAGGTCGAGGACACACTTCTGAGGGGGTAAGAGACATCCTCACACCTTGAGTTAGTGCTTTTCTTTGTAGTTAATATATCCTGTACTGACAGGTGGTCTCTGTAGATATTCTCACTTTCTTGTTTAACAGGAAAATGCGTTTGATCGTTTGGTCAGCAGTTTTATGCATTAAGAGATGGAGTCCGTTTCCAGGGAGCCAGAGGACTCTTGCACCAGGCCTAACAGGTTATGATGAGAGTTTCGCAAGGCCAGGCGTTTGTCTTCTAACCTCTTCTGCCTGGCGCAGGGCCACATGGCAAAATCACATGGGATAGGCAATCTTCCAAGCACGGGCTACCTCAGGAGTAGGCGAAGCTCAGGTAGACACCCAATGCCTGTGACTCCCCCACGGTCCCATCAGCCCCACAATGCCCTACCTCCCAGCTCTGCTGGGAGACAGGAATGAAGATGATCAGGCAAGGGCAGAGGTGGGGTGAGGACGCAGCCCGGCTGGGGAAGGGAGTTTGACCCTGAGTCTCAGACTCAGGGAAGCAAACAGTTGTGGCCTCTGTGGGCTCTGCCAGTTGGGGACCAGAGGGCTCCTTTTACCAAAGGTGCCTGTCGGTGTCCTGCTGAGCAGTGTCAGTGTCTCACACGTGACACCGTCAGATCCCTGGGAGCTCACGTTGGGTGTCAAGCCCCCGCTGTGGACCCATGGTTTTTGTGTGTTGCAGCTACGCTGCCTCTCTCCAAGGGCTCACCTCTAGTGTGGAGGCACCACTCCTGCACTCAGCCTGCTCTGCCAAGTTTACCTCTGTGGCCTCTGTGGTGTTTTCAGGAAATCTTAATTCCCCAGGCTTCTTTTAGCAGTGGGTCTTACATGAAAATTTAGATTTCTGGGTTCTCTTAAATTGAGAAACCTAGCAATTCCAGACAAAACACTAAGGAAAATCGGTGTCACTAGTGAGAGCCAGGAAGCAAGTGTCCCTTTTAAGTCCCCCACTCCCCGTGCCTGTCCCTGCGATGATGCACCTGTGTCGGTCACGTGGGTGACACACTTGTGCAGTAACGCCAGGCTTCTGCGTGCCCGTGGCTCAGGTCTGTACCTGTAGGCTTGTGAGCACGTCCTGCCCGCTCTGCGCCCTTACCCTGCAGTCGCTGCTGTCTAGCCAGCCCCCAGGCTGCAGTGCAGAAGTCCTTTCTTGAGCAACTGCCCAGGTCCCAGCCCATCCTCTGCAAGGCTCTCGTTCTCACTGAGCGTCACTCGGATGTCCTCTCGTTCGTTGTAGGAGTGTCCATCACAGGTACCCACCTTGTTCTGTGCTTGGGTGGGTGAGGCAGCTTTTCAGAAAACTCCTCAAAGCCAAAAACACTTTTCATTACAGCCATTTGACAGGAAATGCCATTGTCAGCTCGACATTGAGATGCCTAAGCAGGCGACATGAGTGTCCACGGAGGAAGGACGGTCTCTCGTTAAGGCCGCTCATCCCGTACCTAGACTAGAAGGGCCGGGGGTGCTGCGCTTCCCGCACCAGGGCACTGCCCCAGTGAGCCCTCTCACAGCTATTCCAGACAGTTCTTTACAGAATGCTACAGACCTGTTCGCTCCTGGGTTTCACTCCTGATTCCTCACCACACATGTAAGAAGACCATCGCAAGGCAGCAAGGGAAATGGCATAGGTATCTGAGCCTAAGGTTAGAACTTGAACGGATTCATTGGATCAATGAACATTAAAATATCTCGCATTTCCTAACAACGATCACCCTTTAAAAAGGCTTTGAGAATCTCGCCTGCAACGTCCACATCGCTGGAAGTTCCCAGTTAACGCAGAGCCTTGTTCTGCAGCTCCGCTGCGTAGGCCCGGCTTTCATGTCCCAGCTGGGAGGCACACGGGTCCTCGTGGTTCTGATTTCACAGCAGAGCTGAAGGAGTCCTGAGAGCGTAGCACAGTGAGCGCGGCCCATCCTGTGCACACTGAATCCTGGACAGATGTTTTGCATCTCGCTGTGCTCAGCTACGTCCCATTATGCAGCTCAGCTTTGATCCAGGGGCTCCTTATCTGTGGTCTCTGTAAGTGAATTAAAATGCCCCTTTCATCTCCGGTGAGCTTAGCCCTGTGAATCATTGCCTTCACTCTGCTCCTTCTTAGACCCCGTGTTGTTCTTCTCATTGGTTCCTGTTAAGGATTCTCTTTTTTTTCTTTCCTCGATGAACCAATTCCTTTATCCATTTCTACAAAAGGGCCTGGTGGATGTCACTTCACATTTGTCAAGCCTAAACCACGTAATCTTTTTAGCGTGGGGTATTTTACAATATTTTCTTGGGGCACGCTCTTTTCCATCTTTAATTAATCCCCACAAATTGCTGAACAGTTGCACCCCAGGATCAAGAAACATTGGCAAAGCCTTGAAATGATAGCACAAACTCAATAGCTCATTTCCATCATTAGGGAACATTCTGTG